CTTCAAGGCTCCACCCTTTGCTGGGCAACTGAGCCAACTCTGTTGGCATCCCAGGGTAGGGTGAGATTCTTGGCTTTCCATAGTGAATAGCCTTTGCATGGTTTCCTAAGAACTCCAGCTTTGGGTGAGTAACATTAGGGTTTGGTGCATCTGCCCCTGCCTTACCCAAATGCCGTTATTCCAACTTCTTCTCAGAAGGGGTGAGGTGAAATGAGCCCTTGTGTAGACTTCATGGGGAGCAGGAGGTTCCTGTGGCTGTAGGAGTTGTTGCTTTCTCTTCTAAGTGCCTGTAGCAAGTATGCCAATAGGGGGACTGAGCTCAGAACTGTCAGTGTCCCTAAAAAGCTCTACAGAAAGTACATAAAATGACACACTTATGGAAACTGAATTGGTCTGAAGAGGAAGAACTTGGCCAGTCTGTGAAGCTTGTCTTCTGGGATCATGCCTCTGCTTGCAGGTGTGCTACATAAAAATCTAAGCATTCAGTACAGCTGTGGCAAGAAACTCTCCCGTCTGTACACATGCCCTGACTTGCCAGTAGCATTTTGTGAGCCTTCCTCCACCCTGAACACAGTGGAGCCATCTAAATCAGCTGGTTTCTGTGCTTGGGATTCCCCTTCAAATTATCATTCATCATCCAAACCCTGCCTCTCATGTCTTGGCTACACAGGGGATCATATTCTCCCACAAATGTATTAACAGTTCATCTCCTGACACTAATCTGACAGGAATCATTTCTAATTTATTATTGCCTTGTTGGTTCCTGTGTAAAATGGTCTTTGCTACCAGTATTTTATTTTATTTGACTTTTGAATACCTGAAAGTCGACAAACATTTTTTTCTGAACCTAGCTTCCCCAGTAACATCTTTGTTGTGGAAAAACAGTTTCACTGTTTTCTTGGCTCACAATATTTCAGTTTTGTTGCTGTGCATTACAGTTTTCTGAGGTTGCTTGAGAGGATTGGATACTCTTAGTTTTGGCATTCTTCTCTCTTCAGGCTGTTCACTGAATGTGTTATAGACACAACATGAAAGCATGAAACAGCAGCAAAACACAGTTCAATGTCAATGACTTGCAACACACATTTATTCAAATTGAAAATAACACAACTAGCCGAAGATTGCTCAGCTTCTGGCAGCAATAGAAATTGAACTCAGATCTTGTCTTAGTTGAGCACCTTAAAAAGTTGACCACCACCATTCTCTATTAAGTATATGAAATGCTGCAAGTGTCACACACACACACACACACACACACACACACACACCTAATAAAGCAGAAAGTCAAACATGGATAAAAGGAAACTAATCTCTGAAAACAAACATGATCTGTGTAGGCAGCTATGACTGGCACTGAACTGGTTCCAGTGACTAATGGTTTTTTCTCCACAGAACAATTAAACACTCAAAGGTTTCTAAATGTTTTTAGATTGATCTAATCTACTGGGAACCAAACATAATTCTGAAACGTGTTCAAATAGATCAGTAACAATTTTCCCACGTTGTTTTGGCCTCCCAATTTTCCACTGGGAATACAAAGCAAATTAACTTCATTCCTGAAGGTGAGATTTCCAGCCTTTGTCAGTCTCCTCAGCCATTCTAGAAGCTGAAAACTTCCCTGCCTGTGGGTGGTGAGTGTCAGAACTATTCCTACAGGTGTACAAACTACGCAGCCACATAGGGTACCTTGAAATTTGGGACACCGAATTGCTTTAGCAGCCAGCCCCATCCTCTGAAAAAAATTACAAGTACGGGTTCTTTTGAAAAAGAATTTTTTCCCCGAAAAACTCACATCTAGACTGCGCTTTCACTTTCAAAAAACCCTTTTTCGAAAAAGTGCTTGGATGCGAATATGCAAATGAAGCATGGGATATTTAAATCTGCGCTGCATTTGCACTTTCGATTTGCCTCATTTACATTCCTCTTTTGAAAGAGGAATGTAGTTTAGACGTGCCCAAACTGAGTGGCAGAGGTTTAACCATTCCTTGGTTCTATGGCATGAGGCCATTTAACCCTTCACTGGACCTACTTAGTAATGTCGGGTAGCTTGAAGAGTGTCAGTACCTGTCTTAATATTAAGTTGTTAAAGTTACATTCTGCTGTGCGTGTGCAGGTTTCTGCATATGGCCTGCTGTTTGGGTAATAAGGATAAGACAGGAACCTTATTTTTAATTACAGTGACTGGAATAACTAGATGAGATTTTTGTATGTGTTGACACTGAATGCATCACCGTGCTGCCTGAGCCCCAAAATCTTCCATCTGCGTTGGAGTGCTGGGTTATGGTTACTGTGCGGAGCCCAGGAACTTGCTTGTGAATGCAGAATCTCACCCATAAATGTTACATTAAAATATGTTCACTAAATAGCATTTCCTACATTATGCTTATATTGGGGATTGGTTAATTTTTCCATTGATCCTGAACTAGTTTAGCTTTCTTGGTTGACAAAAAGACACTAAGTTATATTACTTGGGTTAAAATTCCTCACTTTGAAATATCTCTTTTGGTCTTAAACAAATAACTTCCTTGCTGTATAAGCTACATTGGTTTATTTCTTGTCTGTCTGGTTTCAATTTTATTTGGCTATATCTGTGCTGCTATATCATGTTTTCATAAGCTGCAGCCGTGCTACATCTAAGGATTTTACTTCTTCCTTTAGGGCCTTTTTGAGAAGCCACCTGATTTAATGAAATCTCCTTTTAATGTTTAGGGTTGATCAGTTTATGGTACATCACATCTCCCTAGGCAGGGCCATCTTAATGACTTTGGAGTCCCCTTGATGCAGTGTAAATTTGGGGTGCCTATCCTATTACAGTAGGAAATAAATAGTAACTATTGTCTTAAAATTGTATTGTGAACCAAAACACAACATAGTGGTAATAGGAAAAAATGTATCTATTTTGTTGGTTCAAAAGCATCATTTTCTGTACCTGCGAGTAGCAGTCACAAATGACATCTGCAAATTCAATTTCCAAAAGCACTTTGGACTCAGTATTCATCAGAGCATGTGTCAAATGGTTTTTTTTACATATCACTGCTAAGACAGGTCCCTTTCTGCAGAGGTCCCTGGGCATGTGGCCATTTTGCCCCTGCCTTAAGACATCCCCGCATATGCTGAACCTGATTATATTGTGGTTGCTATTACTTAGGCTAGGTCTATATTAAAGGGGAAGGTCAATTCGAGATACGCAACTCCAGATACATTACGTAGCTAGAGTCAACATACCTTGATCTGAGTTTCCCCACTGCCCCCATAGCAGGAGACTAATGAGAGCAAACACTCCCATCGGCTTCTCTTACTCCTTGCAGGAGCAGGAGTACCACCTGCTGATGGGGGCGCCTCTGAGTTTGATTTACTGAGCCTTAACTTGACCCACTAACTCGGGTGGGCAAAAGGGCCTGGGGGCAGGGGAACACAAGAAGCTTCCTCCTGCCCTGTCAGGAGCATGTAGCGCTTTGAAGCTCCACGTGCTGCTTGCGGGATGGGAGGAGACGTCCCGTGCTCTCCTGTCCCCAAGCGCTGATTGGCCTGAGGCACGGGAGCTGCGCGAAGTTTCCTCCACCCTCCCCCCACCCTGCGAGGAGCACGTGGCACTTCAAAATGCCATACGCTTGTGCAGGGCAGAAGCAAGGCGAAGGATCCCCATCATTGTCTGGGGATGAGGAAGCCCAGAAGCAGCCTGGCCCCACCCCTTCTGGTTTAGACACGCCCCGTTTTTGAAGTGGCCCCAGCCAAAAATTATTGCCCACCGCTGCGCTAACTCAGACTCTGGAAGATTGCTCATAGCAGCTACTTTTACTGCTTGAATTAACTTCTGTGGTGTTTGATCTTCTTCCCTTGTGTGCTCTAGAATTAGGTGTTCTAAGTATTCATTGGAAGTTTCACACTCTTGCTTCTTTCAGCTTTGTTCCATTGTACCATTTGACCAGTTTATCTGGGAGGAGTTGAACTCCCCCATTATCATCATTTTCTTAGACTTGTGCTGCCAATTTGCTGTGTCTATATTTCCAACTCAATTTCCTTGTCTTTGGTTGGAGATTGGTATGTATCGCCCTAGGAGTATTTTTATAACTTGGTATTTGTTTCTGTCCTTATTTACCTGAGTGGGTCTCACCATTCAGAATCTTAACCTTACTGCTCTGTAGAATCTTCTCCAACTCAATATTACTTCCCCACATCTTCATCCTAGTTTATAGCCAGGTGTTAGAATCCCCTAGGTTTTCTTAATTCTGCCATCTTTCTATAATGGATATGATATCTTGCTCTTCCATGGCAAGACATTCTAGTTCATGTATTTTCACTTTTAAGCTTTCCATATTTGTATATAGAAGTGCATAGTTTTATTTTGACCGGGTGTCTATTTTTTTCTAAAGATTTATGCTGCTTCCGATCATCATGGTATCTTACTGCATACATAATTTTCTCTCATATGGGTCATCAGCTAGGTTTGAACCAACTGCTTTCAGGTGTGTAGCACAGAGTGATAGACTTGCTGTCGCTTAAAAAATTTAAATCAAGATTGTATGGCTTTCTAAACGGTGTACTCAGGGTTCACCAGAACTTCTGAGCTTGATGTAGGAATCACTGATCGGAGTTCTGTAGCCTGTGCTCCATAGGCAGCCTACTGGAGTCCTGAATGGAAGTGCTCTTTGCCCAATGCTATTCAGTAGCTTTATCAGTGAAGTGTAGGAACATAGGAATGGTCTGACTGGATCAGCTCATGGACCATCTAGTCTAGTACCTTGATTCAGGATGTGACCTGCACCAGATGTGTCAGAGGAAAGTGCAAGGAATCTTGGAGTATATAAATGTAGGAAATCTACCTAACGCCAGGCAGAGGCCTGGAGCTCTATAGCAGTAGTTTGTATTCCTTCCAGAAATACCTATGGTAATTATAATACTGGATAGTGTTTGGTCCCACCCTGAGTGTGAAGCTTGCCAAATTCTTGGCCTGAATGAGATCTTGTGGCACTGCTGCTCATATTTCCTTTTTTTTCTAGGCTGCAAGCATGTGAAGGGCATCCTGTTGTATGGACCACCAGGCTGTGGTAAAACACTGATGGCTAGACAGATTGGCAAGATGCTGAATGCCAGAGAACCAAAGGTGGTCAACGGTCCAGAAATACTCAACAAATATGTAGGAGAGTCTGAGGCGAACATCCGCAAGCTCTTTGCTGATGCAGAAGAGGAGCAAAGGAGGGTAATGCAAAAATAAACAAGTAGCAAAGTCAATATGGATATGTATGAAACACCAGGGAAGTTCTAGAAGAATGGAAGAAAGCTTATGTGCCAATATTTAGAAAGGGTAAACCGGAAAGATAATGGAATGGTTGACAAGGGACTTGATTAATAGAGAACTAAAGGAAGATAATATAATTAATTCCTGTCAACATGGATATATGAAAAATAAACCCTGTTAAACTAACTTGATTTATTTTTTAATGAGATGACAAGTTAGGTTGATCAAATTAACAGTGTTAATGTAATATTCTTGAACTTCTTTAAGGCATCTGACTTGGTACTCTGTGACATTCTGATTAAAATATTTTAAAGATCTAGAATTAACTTGGCACACGTTAAATGGATTAAAACTTGGCTGACTGATAGGTCTCAGAATGTAGTTGTAAACAGAGAATGATCGTCCAATAGGATAGAGTCTAGTGGGAATTGGTTCTTGATGCTATGCTATTTAGCATTTTTATTACTAACATGGCAGAAAACAAAATAATCACAGATCAAGATTTTGGGCAAACCCGGCAGGGAGGGAAGTTGCCCAGGGCTGTGTAATTGAGAGGTGCCAGGCTCCCTGCTGCCACCGCAGCCCTAGGCCCGTTCAGTCACTGCTAGAGCACTGCTCCGCATGGCTTTGGGGAAGGAGGGGGTCAGCACTGCTGCCTGGGTGGCATTGCTTCCAGCCACAAGCTTTTGCTTTTGGCCCCTCTGTTTTCAGGTGACACACAAATTGGGGGAGTGATTTGTAATTGATTGTCAGGCCACTGATTTAGAGCAGTCTCGATTACTTGGTGAGCTTGTGGAAGTTCACAACGTGTTTTAATATAAGTGTAAATGTCTGCAGTTGGAATGAGGAACGTAGGCTTTATTTCCAGGATAGGGGGCTCTATCCTGGGAAGGAGTAACTCTGGAAAAGATTTGGGGGTCATGAGATCCCAGTGTGAAGCTGTGGCCAAAAGGGACAATGTGATCTTTGGCTTCATACAGTGGAATCTCAAGTAGAAGCTGAAATGTTATTTTACTTTTGTATGTGGCAGTGGTGTGAACACTGTTGGAATCCTGTGTCTGGTACTGAGGTCCATAATTCAGAAGAACGTTGGCAAATTGGAGATACATTCAGAATAGAGTCATGAGAATGTCTAAAGAGTTGGAAAACCTGCCTTAAATTGATACTCAAGGAGCTCAATCCAGTTACCAAGAGATGGTTACAGGCTGATTTGATCACATTCTATAAGTACCTACATGGCAATGGTTCTTCAGTCTAGCAGAGAAGGGTCTAGCACAGTGGTCCCCAACGCGGTGCCCGCGGGCGCCATGGCGCCCGCCGGGGCATTTGTGTGCGCCCACCAACAACCTGGGCTGGCCCCACCCCCAGCGCATGGCACACTGGAGGC